CCGGGGATGGTAGCGCGCACCTGTAATCCCAGCTACTCAGGAGGCTGAGACAGGAGAATCGCTTGAACTCAGGAGCCAGAGGTTGCAGTGAACCGAGATTGAGCCACCGCACTCCAGCCTGGGTGACAGAGTGAGACTCATCTCAGAAAAAAGAAAAAAAATCTGCTTATGGAGTATTTCTTCTATAAAATGAGTCACCTCTGCCTTGCTGCTTTCAAAATTCTCTCTTTGTTTTTGTCTTTTTATGTTTTGGTTATACTGTTTCTTGGTTTGGATCTCTTTGAGTTTTCCTGTTTGGATTTTATTAAGTTTTTTTTGGATGTGTAGATTTGTGTCTTTTATCAAATTTGGGAAGTTTCCAGCCATTACTTTTGCAAATATTGTTTCTTTCCCTTTCTCTCTTCCTCTCCTCTGGGACTCTCATTAGGTATATTTGGTACGCTTGATGGTGTCCCACGGGTCTCTTAGGTTTTGTTACTGTTTCTTTCCCCCCACCTTTTTTTTTTTTTTTTGCTTCACAGACTGTATAATCTCAATAGCCCTATCTTCAAGTTAAACTTCTTCTTCCTGCTTGAATTTTCTGTGGAACTTTTCTAGTGAATTTTTCATTGCAGTTATATTTTTTAACCCTACAATATTTCTATTTGGCTTTTAGAAAAGTAATTCCTATCTATTAATATCCTCCATTTAGTGGGACATTGTTCTTATAGTTCTTTATATATGGTTTCCATTAGCTCTGTGAGCATATATGAAAGAGTTAAAGTCAAGTAAGTCCAGTCTGGGCTTCTTAAGGGAGAGTGCCTATTAATTTCTTTTATTCCTCTTTGTGAACTTTGCCCTTTTTTGTGTACTTCACTTTTTTCCAATGGAAACTGAACATTTAAAGTAGTATATTGTGGCGACTCTGGGAATCAGAGTCTCCCCTCTCCCTAGGGTTTTTTGTTGATGGTTATTACAGTTTTTTGCTGTTGTTATTTGGTGACTTTTCTAAACTAATTATTTTATATTTTTTCATTCCCCATTTTTATTATCTAATGGAACTAATTTTGTAAAGTTTGTATTTTTTGTCATATGTGGCTAATGAAGTGTGTTCCAGTAGATTAGCTACCAACCAGTGACATTACACAGATTTTCTTATGCTGCTATTTTCAGTAACATCACTTCCCTGCAATCATTTAAAAATATGAATTAAAAAGAAGAAAAATAATAGTAATGGATGCTGATCTTTTGTCATACATGATGAACTCTGATCTTGAGGATTTTTACATTTTTAGTGACTCTATATTATTTTGTATCCTTTTCTCTCTTCCAACGAGTATTCTTTGTCATCTCGCTTCTTACACTGCTGGGGAACTTCAACTCAGACCACAAAATGCAAAAAATATCGTATAGCATTTGCAACTTCTAAATGCAATGTGCACACTGATTCCCAAGTAAAATTTGCCTTTGGTCCAGACCCATTCCAGACGTGAGGCCATGCTCCCTTCTTCCAGTGAAGATGTGGGAACTCAGTACCAGACTAGATTAGTTTGGGAAGAGTGCCATTGGATTGACTAAGCACTGTTAATGTGGCCTATTCCCTCAGTTCATATACTTATATTCGCCCCAATACCCTAAATAACCTGAGGGAAGAAGTCTTTTCACATTCTATTTTTGGTCTGTCCTCTGGTACATATGACTGGCAGTGACAACCTGCTTTAAAGAGACCTCCTGAGCACTGACCATGAAGATGAAATATTAGTAAATGCTAATCTAGTTGTACATAATCTAGAAATAAAATGTCTGGTAAAGGTAAACCACCTTTGGCTGAAGCCATGAAGTAATAAAAAAGCTCAGCCTTCTTCGGAATTATGTTTCACAAACCCCAGGGGATGAAATTTTTCCAAAGGAAATCTCAGAATTTAGTGGGGAATGCTCAATTATCCTGCCTTCTGCCGGGAGGGAACAGAAAACCTCTGCCAGAAAAACAGGAAACCTCTTGGATTAAGAGGTTTTTTCTAATAACAAGTAAAATATTTATGATATGGGGCTTATATATTGTTACCAAGCATTTGCTGACACTGCATATAGTTTTAGATCATTCTGTTTCCTGAACACATGAAGGCAAGCAATATGGTAAAATATCCAAATGCAACCCAAAGTATACTCTTCCCTCACTGGGGAAATCCCTTGGAAGTACCCCTTAGCTCATATGGTCCCTCAGCAAATAATTATTGAACAGCTTCTATAAGCTGTGCTTTCTGCTGGATTGTATCAGACTTGGACCAAAATAAGGTGCAAATGACCAGTATTATAGTCTTTCTGTGGGATATTTGAATTTTCATTTGAGTTTGTTTATTAAAACATATTTTAATGACAAGTGTAAATACTTTTTTCCTTTTTGAAATAGGGTCTCCCTCCGATACCCAGGTTGGAGTACAGTGGCACAATCATAGCTCACTGCAACCTCGAACTCCCACGCTCAAACAATCCTCCCACCTCAGCCTCCCAAGTAGCTAGGACTACAGGCATGTGCCACCACGTCCAGTTAATTTTTAAAATTTTTTTTGTAGAGACAGAGCTTTGCTGTGGTGCCCCGGCTGGTCTCGAACTCCTGGCCTCAAGTGATCCTCCCACCTTGGCCTTCCAAAGTGCTGGGATTACAGGTGTGAGCCATGGCACCCAGCTGAGAAATGCATAAAAGAAACTTTGAGCAGAGAATGCATAAAAGAGACTTCCAACTGATGTTTCAAGCCTATTCCTGAAAGGCCTGCAGAGGAGCAAAGTACATGAAATTACATCTTTATGTGACAAAACAAAAGTGTCTTTCTAAACCTCTTACTTACTATGTACCTACTTGAAACTGTGATAAATATGAAATTTAAAATTATCTTGGACATGGTTTGAAGGACTTTTATCTGAATTTGGTTCACCAGAAAAGATTTTTTCCAAAACACATGTAGTATGAGCAAGCCGAGTGCTTTATTCCTAGGAGAATCTTCTCCAGAAAGCACTATGGAACATAGTGAGTCTTAATGAGGAAGGAGGTGCCCCTTGGTTGGTCTTACAAATGCCACCCGAATCATGGCTAAGAGCCTCCTCTCATTCACTCATTCAGCAGTGTTATTGAATACCTACTAAATGTATGGTATTATCTAGGCTCTGGGTGGGAGAGTTCCTGGGCTTAGGAATTTAAAATCTTATATTTCATAAATTGGGTATAAATAAAAGGAATTTGGTGACTGCCTTCACTTTGTGAAAATCCATCAAGCTGCATTAAGATTTATGCCCTTTTCTATGTTGTGTTATACGTCAAGAAAAAGTTTCTCCTGAAAGTGCTTTGGGAATTGAAAACTGGAAGACATTATTTCCAGTTGAGAAAACAGGGTAATACCTCTACAAGGAAGCTAACTTTCTGGCTTTATATTATATTGTTACTGACAGTTCATCATTGTCAGGGTAAGATTTTTTTATTTTCAGGTAAGCAGATAATGTCATCATCATCATCATCATCCCCACAGCAGTTACAACATATTAAGAACTTGGCCGGGCGCGGTGGCTCAAGCCTGTAATCCCAGCACTTTGGGAGGCCGAGACGGGTGGATCACGAGGTCAGGAGATCAAGACCATCCTGACCCCGTCTCTACTAAAAAATACAAAAAACTAGCCGGGCGAGATGGCGGGAGCCTGTAGTCCCAGCTACTCGGGAGGCTGAGGCAGGAGAATGGCGTGAATCCAGGAGGCGGAGCTTGCAGTGAGCTGAGATCCGGCCACTGCACTCCAGCCTGGGCGGCAGAGCGAGAGTCTGTCTCAAAAAAAAAAAAAAAAAAAGAACTTATGATGTACCAAAGCCAGGTGCCATCTGAATTCTTCGTGCATACTAACCTACTTATTCTTCATAGTAGCCCTGTGAAGTAGTTACTATTATTGTCTCCATTTGACAGAGGCAGAAATTGAGACACAGTGAGGCTGAAAATTTGTCCAAGGTCATTCAGCTAAATAAGTGGTGAAGCCAGGAGGCAAACAGATCAAACCTGAATTCTTATTTGGATAAGTCTCTTAGCCAAATAGTAGCAGTTCTCAAAGTGTAGTCCAGGAACGCTTGTGGGTCCCAAGACGTTTTCAAGCAGTCTTCAAGGTCAATGCTATATTCATAATCATATGAAGACATGATTTGCTTTTTTCACTCTCATTCTCTCAAGACTGTACAGTGGAATTTTCCACAGGCTATGTGATGTATGCTATCACAACGAACTCAATGCAGAAGCGGATACAAATCTCCAGCTATCTTCTGTTAAGCCAGACGCTGCAGATATTTACAAAAATGGAAAACAATGCCATTCTTCCCACAACATTTTTTTGTTTTTCACAATATATTTATTTTCATAAATTACATTATTCACATTAACATTTAATGGGCTTATTACTGCTTTTAATAAATTAAATACTTTAAAATTTTTATCAGTTCTAATTTTTAAAAATTTGATTAAATACTAATTTTTAAATTTTTTGTAGAGACAGAGTCTCGCTATGTTTCCCAGGCTGGTCTCAAACTCCTGGCCTCAAGTAATCCTCCAGCCTTGGCCTCCCAAAGTGCTGGGATTATAGGCATAAGCCACTGCACCCAGCCTAGTTTCAATTTTTAATATAAGAAATATCTATAAATAGAACCCACATACACAAAAGCTCTTTTGGAGTCCTCAGTAATTTTTAAAGATTATAATGGGGTCCTGAGATCAAAATGTTTGAGCGCCACAGCCCTATACTGTTCTGCCTTAGGGGAGTGGATACCCAAAAGCTGGTTTTATGGTTATAGAAGGAGCTTAGAAGTCAGCTCCACTTCTGAGACCTGTCACATAAAAATGTATCCTTCCTTTTCTCCTGTGAAGCTGGACTTAATAATGCTGACATTCTGGGGTGGCTCTCATTTAATTATGAGAGACTGCAAGGCAACTGCTTAGTGTAGAGTAAGCCCTCAACCCGTGGCCCAGAACCAGGAACTTTTCTTGTGTCATCCACAGGTGATGGAATTTTACTGCCAGTCCTGTGAGACTGCCATGTGTCGGGAGTGCACGGAGGGGGAGCACGCAGAGCACCCCACAGTTCCGCTCAAGGATGTGGTGGAACAGCACAAGGCCTCGCTCCAGGTCCAGTTGGATGCTGTCAACAAAAGGTGGGGGACCCCTCCCCAAACCCCCAATTGGCTGCCTGTACTTGGGGCCTGGCCTCATGGCCTCTTGTCTAAGTACAGCAGTAGGTTCATATTTCCCTTGAGATATCAGGCTTTGTGGGTAAATAAGTTCTTTTATCATGGATTTGTTGTCATAAACTAATGAGTGTGGAAGGTTGTCTTCTGCCTGTTGGTAGAACTCCAACCTCCTTAGGTTATGAGTGGCATTTTTGTTTTAGTGCCTAAGTATGATTACATGAATTAAAGTACACTCAAAAGAAAGTGCTCTCAGGAGAGTTCTGAAGTTCATCCCTGAAACTAGGCCCTCTGAGGAGCCTTCCTTGTCTGCTGTTCCTGACACACATACAGGCCATTTTGTTGGCTGTGATTGGCTCCTTTCTATCTGAGCTCTGCAAAATGGTCTTGAGCAATGATTGCTAATTTTCCTTGTTTTCCTGCTTCCAAGTTCCTTCTTTGGCACAGAAATGAAGGAACAGATTAGCTGAGTGGTGCATGAGAAAGACCAAAGAGAGGAAATGAGAAACCAGCAGAAAAACAGACAAAATAAATCTCTCTACTGATAGCTGCAGTGAGAAAAGTGTGGTTGTTCCATAGTAATTCAAAGAACTTGGAAACTTACGAGAAGTTCTCAAGAAACTGAGTATGGATAAGTGTTTTATGTGGCTAGGGGAAAAGATACAACTACCTAGAATAGTGGTTCTCGGCCATTCAGCAATGCCTGGAGAATTTTTCGTGTCACAACTGTGTGTTTTGGCAGGGGGTTGGGGAATGGAAGGCAGGGCAGGGAGAGCTATTGGCATCTGGTAGAGGACAGGATGCTGTTAAACATCCTACAATGCACCAGACGGCCCCTGCAACAAAGAATTAATCTGGCCAGAATGGCTTTTCAGAGAACTTCAAGTCTTTATACCCTTAATTAATTATCAAAATTGGACAATTGATGGTAGATTGAAATTGACAATTTTGATTGTCTCTAAAGAGACAAAGTCTCTTCTCTCTGAGGCAGTAATTATGTCATATCTTATTCTGTTCTCTGGTTATTGTTTTTTAAAGATGATGAAAGGCATAGAAACTTTTTTAAACAAAAATGTAGTGTTTAGATAGATTTTGGACTATTTCTGGGTTGAGGTTAAATAACGACCTTTAATGACTGTCCACCAGGCTCCCAGAAATAGATTCTGCTCTTCAGTTCATCTCGGAAATCATTCATCAGTTAACCAACCAGAAGGCCAGCATTGTGGATGACATTCATTCCACCTTTGATGAGCTCCAGAAGACTTTAAATGTGCGCAAGAGTGTGCTGCTTATGGAACTGGAGGTCAACTATGGCCTCAAACACAAAGTAAGACCAGAATCGTTACAGATGTCCTAGAAGAGACATGATATCCAAGGGCACTAGCTTATTGTTTCCTAATAGCAACAAGGGGTCCTTAAGTGTCATCATTGTATAGTAAACTATAGTTTTCACTGAATGTAATATCCAGCTATTTTTTTTCCCTATTTTCAGCAAAATTTGATGACTCTGTGACTTTAAGTACTAGTTTATAATTTGACAAGAGGCACGGTTGACTATAATATAATGCTTTCAGGATTTAGAGTTAAACTGGATTGTTTTCATTCCTCAGTTATAACGTGAAATAGTTTCTTAATTGCTCTCTCACCCACACCAACCTGTTAGTCAGCTTCAAAATGAACCCTGACTGCAGCCTTTGTTTAACTCTGCATATCTGTTCACAAAACAGGGATGAAAAACTTCTGATGTTCAGGTGTGGAGAGTTTTCATTTGTTTCCTTCCTGTTCCTTTAGATGGTGATGGGGCAGCTTTGGACACTGGGGAAAGATACCGAATAATGAATATTTCAGATGTCAGGCATAGCAATTAGTTTGCTGTGCTCTTGGTAGTGACCTTTCTGTTTTCCCCTCTCCAAAACACATGAGCCAAGAAATACATGTGTGGAAGAGAGGGCAAGGCGGAAGGGAAACTTCGAGAAGGTACTGGGAATACAATTTAGGACTTTGCATTAGCACTGGGTTCCCTGGGTTGACAAACACCACTTGCTCAGAACCACCTGCGTGGGCAGGTGTAGAGCCTCCTCCTCGCCGGGGGAGGGCACTGCCCCGGGCTGGGCCCCGCCCTGTGGGACAGCTCACCAGGCCTCCGGTTTTCCCGCAGGTCCTCCAGTCGCAGCTGGATACTCTGCTCCAGGGGCAGGAGAGCATTAAGAGCTGCAGCAACTTCACAGCGCAGGCCCTCAACCATGGCACGGAGACCGAGGTCCTGCTGGTGAAGAAGCAGATGAGCGAGAAGCTGAACGAGCTGGCCGACCAGGACTTCCCCTTGCATCCGCGGGAGAACGACCAGCTGGATTTCATCGTGGAAACCGAGGGGCTGAAGAAATCCATCCACAACCTCGGGACGATCTTAACCACCAACGCCGTCGCCTCAGAGACGGTGGCCACGGGCGAGGGGCTGCGGCAGACCATCATCGGGCAGCCCATGTCCGTCACCATCACCACCAAGGACAAAGACGGTGAGCTGTGCAAAACCGGCAACGCCTACCTCACCGCCGAACTGAGCACCCCGGACGGGAGCGTGGCAGACGGGGAGATCCTGGACAACAAGAACGGCACCTATGAGTTTTTGTACACTGTCCAGAAGGAAGGGGACTTTACCCTGTCTCTGAGACTCTATGACCAGCACATCCGAGGCAGCCCGTTTAAGCTGAAAGTGATCCGATCCGCTGACGTGTCTCCCACCACCGAAGGCGTGAAGAGGCGCGTTAAGTCCCCAGGGAGCGGCCACGTCAAGCAGAAAGCTGTGAAAAGACCCGCAAGCATGTACAGCACTGGAAAACGAAAAGAGAATCCCATCGAAGACGATTTGATCTTTCGAGTGGGTAAGGAGAGGGCTTCTGTGCCTGATGCCTGAGCTAGCACTGGTTAAGGGGTAACTGGGCACGTGTCATTGCAAATAGCAACACTGCAGCCAGGAACTCTACCTGCAGGTGTTGGGAGATGTACTGCTGTAAAATTTCATATCTTTTGTTAGTCGAGCTTATGCAGTCTCCTCCAGAGATGATATTTCCTTCTCTTCCGCCTCTAGTCTCCTCCCTACTCGCTCCTTTCTGTTCTTCCTCCTCCTGAAAACACAAGTGCTGCATATTCATTGTAGGAAATTACAAGCCGAAAATAAGCAAAAAGAGAAATAGAAAAATCGTAGCACCCGTAATCTGAAAATCTTAAAGGAAAAATTGTCAATCCTCCCCCCACCTCCACCACAATGCCCCTCTTCCCTAGGAGTGTCTTCTTGTGCCAGAGCTGAGGCTGTACGCTGGGCAGAGCATCTGATGCCTCCCTGTCACTGCTTCTGCATTGCAGGAGGGAGGGGATGTGTGCATTGCAAGTTGCAACCACCTCTAGCTGTGTGTAGCTGGAGAGCAGCCCGAAGGAGAGGAGGAGGGGTGGAAACTTGGAGAAAGAATGGGGTTGGGGCGGAGTTGGGGTGGAAGCAAGAAGGTACAGGATGAGCCAAGAGAGTTGGGAATGCAAATAGCCCTTCCCTCCTCTGATTTGTGATCTTTTGTCTTTTTAAACTGTCTGTGTTCTCAGTAGAAAGCAACTAAATGTAAACAACAAAGGGCTTGATAATTCTTAAGGGGAGAAAAGTCTGCGTTTTAGTTAGCTTCAAAAAGTAGCTCCAGCAGACTTCTCTTCCTCCCTCTTTCATCTAATAATGCAGGATCTCTGAAAGGGTGCTGCACTGTATGTTAGCTGGCACACGTAGAAAAACAATTCTGTGGTTCACATAAATTGGGGAAACCTTAGGCTAAGTGAAGGAAGTTGACTTTTTTAAATTTCAGAACTTCTTAAAACCTTTAGAATCTGCTGATGTGCATTGTAAGTCTCTTAGGCAGGAGAAGGGTAGATAACAGGCAGCACATCCAAACTTCCAACCATAGAACTTTTTCCATGGGAAACATCTTGGGAGATGAAGGCTCTGTGGAACATTCTTGGGCAGAGCTGCTCACTGTTAATGCTTCAGGCTGAATCTTGGTAAAGACCATGATATGATATGTAACTTGTCTGTTCAGAGCATGGAAGCCCTCATACATTCACAGCCAGATGTGCAATATGGGTACAGGGGTTGTTGATTCTCCACCAGAGCAGAGTGGACAAGCTTGGGTGGATGCAGGACTGGGAGGCGCCCAGGTCTGCCACTCCGGTTCAACTGCTTACTTGAGCCTTGGACAAATCTTTCAGCTTCCCTGAACTTCAACTTCTATGTCCATGAAATGAAAATGCAAAAATATTTGCTTATCAGAACTATTCTAAGTTCCAAGCTGAATGCTTGACATGTAGGAGGAGCTAAATGAATGAGAGCTATTGTTTTTGCATGTATAATTGATAAGGCTTTTAGATTATCCCTGCTACCTTTTCGTTTCAAAAAACTTGCTGGCTCCCCACTGATCTCTTGCATTACAAAGAAATTCATTTTCTCATATAAACCTCCACCCACCATACCTCCCGCCAAGTGACCCCAGTCTACTCCCCTAGGCCATGTGCAGTGAAAGACTCAGAACTGGAATTGGGCAGATCTGGGTCGGAATCTTGATTCTTCTCACCAGCTGGGCAACTGGCTTACCCTTTTTGAACACTGTTTTCTCCTCTGTAAAGCAAAGGGAATGAAATATTATATAAATCTTAAGGTTGCTGTTGGGGGTGAAATGAGAGAAGTCTTGTAATACGCCTGGCATGTGCCTGTGTAGGGAAAGAGCTCAATTAATGGTAGCTAAGATTTTACTCTTGTTTTTCATCGTCATCATCATCATCATCTCTGATACCCACTTGAGGAAAGAGACATGTCTTTCGGGGGTTTCCTGTGCTCAAACTATATTGGTTTTGAGTCACCAGCTCCCACCCCAGGGACAAGGGGGTATATCTTCTCCCCTTCTACCCATTGAGAAATGCAGCCATAGTGATGTATTGGCACTGATGGAAAGGTGTTTAAATGTGTAAACATTCGTAAAGAACTTAGAACAGTGCCTGGCATGCAGCACGATGTCTGACTTTATCAATGAAGTAAAGACGCTGTCTTAGTTTGCTAAAGCTACCATAACAAAATTCCACAGTCTGGGTGGCTTAAATGCCACACATTTATTTTCTCACGGTTCTGAAAAACTGGAACTGTTTTAGAGTTAGAAGTCTAAAATCCCGGTGCTGGCAGAGTGGGTTTCCTCTGAGGCCTCTGTCCTTGCAGATGGCCACCTTCCTGCCTCTTTGTCCTCACATAGTCATCCCTTTGTGGCTCGGCCCCTACTGTCTCTTCCTCTTCCTATAAGAACACCAATCATATTGGATTAGGGCCCCACTTTAACAGCCTCATTTTAATTTAATCACCCCTTCAAAGACCTAATCTCCAAATGTGTATATATTCATGGTGTACAACATGATGTTTTGATATATGTATACCTTATTGAATGGCTAAATCAGGCTAACATATGCCTTACCTCACATATTTATCATTTTTTTCTAGAGAGAACACTTACAATCCACTCTTTCAGCAGCTTTCAAGTGTATATAATTTTTTTTTCTTGTTATTGAAACAGGGCCTTGCTCTGTTGGCCAGACTGGAGTACAGTAGCATGATCATGGCTCGTTGTAGCCTCTACCTTCTGGGCTCAGGTGATCCTCCCACCTCAGCCTCCCAAGTAGCAGGGACCACAGTTGCATGTCACCAAGCCCAGCTAATATTTGTTTTTGTTTTTTTGTAGGGATTGGGTCTCACCATGTTACCCAGGCTGGTCTCAAACTCCTGGGCTCAAACAATCTGCCCATCTCAGCCTCCCAAAGTTCTGGGATTACCGGCGTGAGCCACCATCCTGGCCATAATATATTAACTACAGTCACCATGATTTACAATAGTTCTTTTGAACTTATGCCTCTTTTTAAACTAAATTTTTCTGTCTTTTGATCAACATCTCTCCAGTCCTTTTACCCCCACCCTTCCCAGCCTCTGGTATCTACCATTTTACTGTCTGTTGCTATGAATTCAACAATTTTAGATTCTTCATATAAGTGGGATCATGTATTATTTGTCTTTCTGTGCCTGGCATAATGTCCTCCAGGTTCACCCATGTTGTCACAAATGACAGGATTTCCTCTTTTTGAAGCTGAATAGTATTCCATTTGTATATATATATACCACATTTTCTTTATTCATTTGTTGATGGACACTTAGGTTGATTCCATATCTTGGCTATTGTGAACAGTGCTGCAGTGAAACATGGGGGTGCAGATATCTCTTTGACATCCTGACTTTGTTTTCTTTAGATATTTTAGATACAGTGAGTTCTAGATTTCTCTTCAAAGAATCAGTATGTCAGTATGTTCAGTTCTTTGTCCTCCATTTTAAAGTTAACTTCCTCGTAGTTTCAGAAACAACCTTTTCCATCAGTTTTAATTGGTAGTTCACATCTGTTCCCCTGGTCACCTTCTCCATCCTGACTCATCCTGATCACCTGCTTTGACCTGAGTCACCTCTGTCACCTGCTCTGACCTAAGTCACCTTTAGTTACCTGTTCCTAACTGTCCTTCCCACCAAAATACTCACCCCACCACTCTGGCTCATACCCCTACTCTCTTTAAAATAGCCAATCGGAATTAGCTTAGACTGTGTGGTCCAACCCTAGCCAATAGGCGAACGACACAACAGTAGGGGCTACCTGCATCAGGGATAAGAACTCCTTCCCCTCCCTTGTCCAGGTGTGCTTTCGCCATTACTCCATTTGCAAGTCACACCCTTCTATAGAAGTAAAAATTGCCTTGCTGAGAAAATTAAATTTATGTTCGAGTGCTATTTCTTTGAGGCACCAAAAATTTGTTTCTAACAGATATATACCCAGTACTGGGATTGCTGGTTCATATGATAGTTGTATTTTTAATTTTTTTAAGAACTTCCATACTGTTTTCCATAATGGCTGTACTAATTTACATTCCCACCAACCTGTGCCAGGGTCCACTGTCTCCACATCTCTGCCAACACTTGATATCTTTTATCTGTTTTTTGAGACAGAGTCTCGCTCTGTTTCCCCAGACTGGAGTACAATGGTGAGATCATGGCTCACTGCAGCCTCAGCCTCCAGATCCTCCCACTAAAGCCCCCCAAGTAGCTGGGACCCCAGGCATGTACCACCATACCTGGCTAATTTTTTCTTTTGTGTTTTTGGTAATAGCCATTCTAACAGGTATGAGGTATTATCTCATTGTGGTTTTAATTTGCATATTCCTAATGATTAATGATGTTCAACTTTTTTTTTTTTTTTGAGATGGATTCTCTGTTGCCAGGCTGGAGTGCAGTGGCATGATCTCAGCTCGCTGTAACCGCTGCCTCCCAGGTTCAAGTGATTCTCCTGCCTCAGCTTCCCAAGTAGCTGGGACTACAGGCGTGTACCACCACGCCCAGCTAATTTTTGTAGTTTTAGTAGAGACAGGGTTTCACCATGTTGGCCAGGATGGTCTCGATCTCTTGACCTTGTGATCCACCTACCTTGGCCTCCCAAAGTGCTGAGATTGCATTTTTGATATACTGGTTGGCCATTTGTATGTCTTCATTTGATAAATATCTATTCAGGTTCTTTGCCTGTTTTTTTTTTTTTTTTTTAATTTTATTTGTATTTTAAAAATAGACATGGAGGCCGGCCTCAGTGGCTGATGCCTGTAATCCCAGCACCTTGGGAGGTCAAGGTGAGTGGATCACCTGAGGGCAGGAGTTCAAGGCCAGCCTAGCCAACATATGAAACCTCATCTCTACTGAAAATACAAAAATTAGCCAGGTGTGGTGGCAAACGCCTGTAGTCCCAGCTACTCGGGAGGCTGAGGCAGGAGAATCGCTTGAACC